TAGGGAAAAAAAAGATTGCCCCATTATATCAAAACATTGCACAGATAACTCACTCAAGAGCATGAGGCACTGCTCATCACGGCAGCAGTGGGACTGCAGACAGATAACTAGTCTATAGTAGAAGACAGAAGGATAAAGAGTATTTCAGGATGTAACTAGGCTGGCTTGTGCATAACTTGGCATAAAAGAACAGAAGGGGAGGTAGTATGTCTGAAAGCTGCCCTCCACTCCAAATACATCCACTGCTCTGGGGAAGAAAACAACGTAACAATCATACCTGTTTTTAGAAAACCTGCATCTTCCTACTCCTTCAACGAGCACGACACTGATGAACGTTAAATTCAGTGAAACCACTGAACAATGAATGAGACCTGGCTAAGTACGAGGGGCTGAGGAACAGAACAGCTCACCTCATACTGCTCAAGGGCCTCCTTCCTTTCCAGTTCAAGCTGTTCCAGTTGTTGCATAGCAACCTGAAGAGCCCGTTCCTTTATCAGTCTCTGGTTTTCTAGCTCTTGCTTCTCTGCTTCTGTCATCTGAATGGTCTGTTGCTGCTGCAAGTGCCATTTTTCCAGTTCTGCTCTCTTTGCAGACTCTTCTTCCAGTAATCTGCCATGGAGATTGCGATATTAACTGCATGTGAAAGTAAGCTATATCCATTATGTAGGATACCTACAGGAAAGCCTAGCTTTTTTTTTTTTTCTTTTTTCTTTTTTTTTTTTTTAAACTCTTGGAAGGCCGGTAAAAATACTGCTAATTGTCTCATCTTCGATATAAAAACTTGTCAGCGGTTGTCAGTAGTTTGACTGCTACAAAGCACTGTTCAGAGAATTTAGTCAATAACGCAGATGCACAATAGTGAAAACCACAGAAGAAACAAACATGCAAGGTTTATCTTAATTGTCTTAGCAGGACTGAATGCATGAAGAGGAATATCCACTCTAAACAGGACCCTTAAGAGAAGGAGGACGCTTAACTCCTCATCAACTTGAATTTAAACCGGTGATAAAATACAGGCTGACATAAAGTCATATTTTACAGTTAACTGCTTTATAAAATATACAACTGAAAAATCTGCACTGGGGGGAGGGGGCCTCAATTTTTCAGATGTACAGAGGTGCAACACCCCATGAAAAATAAAAATGAGCCTGCTTTTCTGAAAACGCTGAGTACTCGCACCGGTAAGAACTCTCACTAAGAAATCAAAGATTTATAAAAACCATAAATAGCAGCGTTCAGACTTCATAGCTTAAGGAACAAATCCATTCTGCCTTTACTTTAAAACGCTCTCCCTTTCCAGCAATGTGTCCAGGATGCCAAAAAAAATCTCTTCAACAGTATGGCATAGGAGTATTCATTCTTACTTTGCAGGGAGGAGGGGAAATCAGTAGAAATAAGTCTCTGCTAGGTAAAAGTCACACCTGGCTTGAAGTTTCCTTACAGTCTCTTCATCTTGACGTGCCTGTTTCTCATCCTCCAAGGCTTCCTGTAGCTGCTTATACATTTCTTCCAGTTCACGTACTCTCTGTAAATACTGTTCCAGTTCAGACGACTTCTGAGCAACCTGCTCTTCCATTTTTTGTCTTACCTAAGCAGCATGAATTGAGGACACGCATGAGCCATTTAACTGAGGTTTCCAATTTTAAAGGGAAGTACCATGTTTCCCTCAGATGAGGCTGCCTCCGCAAGCCTTCCCCTCAGTAGCGTATTTCACAGTTAAATTTGGATGATGGCACTGCAACTTGCAATGGATAAAGGGGTTGGAAATCCACTACGGAGGTGAATGATAAACTGAAGGTAAGTGATAGAGAAAGGTGAGGAGGTGAGGGAGAACCTCACATTTAAGGTCACCCAGGCTCTGCTCCTCACTTCCCACCCTTTACCGGATCAGAGCAGGACACAAGGAGTGCTCACAGGGAGCCAGAGCCATCTTTTTTTATGCCTGACAAAGCTATTCAAGGTTGAAAAGTAGTTCTTTGGGGAATCTGGGTGTGGATTACAACAACAACAGTGTTTTACAGCTACCATGCACCACATATATAAAGTTTGAAATAGACATATAGACCATACAGCAAAGGTTTAAAACCGTAATTAATTCAGAAAGGTCCTAAAACGTGTTTTAAGGATGCCTATACTCATTTGCGTATTCACATAACATGTACTGAACTCAGATTCTCCATCTTCAAAACGTAGACTAGCAGCTTCAGTCTGCATTTATCTTGTAAAACAGGTCATTCTATTCCCAGTTTTGCAAAAACATTCCAGCCTTGAATGCTGTGCAAATTGTATGCAGGCCGTTCCAACATTTGTATTCACTAGGAAGAATACTTCATATTTCTAATGCAGGCAACCCAGGTTGCATCCTGAAACCTCCTGCAAAACCTGTCCGAATCCTTTCGGTGATAGGCTATGAGTGAAGTCATTGCTAAAAGCATTATTCACTATGTGTAATCATGGCAAAAAGCCGTTTGTGCTACTCACCATTTTTTCTCTCTCCAGCTCCAGGCTGAAGCGATCTTGTAATTCCACTTGAGTCTGAAGTCTTTTCTTCTCCTCCTCGGCAGCACGTGCAGCTGCTGCTTCCAGTTGCTGTGGAAGGAAAAGGGAAAAAGGAAGGAAGGAAAAAACAGTTCCTCAAAACTAAACCATTTTGGAAATATGTAAGTTCATTTAACAATTTTTTTTTTCTTTTTTAGAAGACACCTTCAGATTTGTTTTCAAAAAACAAAGTCTGAGTCTATTCTCAATCTCTAAATATCATGTTAAATATAGCTTGCACTTGTAAGATTAAAAATTATATTTAAAATTTGCAAATTAAAAGTCAGTTACCAGACCTCCTCCCCCGTTTCCTGAGAGTTCTGCTTTGCACAGCCAACAGAAATCAGTCTTTCCTTCTCGAATTCACAGGAAGGAGAATACAGTTATGGAAAACCACCTCCCATTCATTTGCATGCAGGACTAGACAGTAATTCCAACAACACTGAAACCATGCCGGAAGGCTTAGAGCTCACACACAAACAGAAGCGAGAAGCACTACCTTACCATGGGAAAGCAGAAGTGCCACTAAGTTTGACTATAGGAAGCGACTGTGCTACTGCGAATCACATCCCTTTAAGATTCCCCGAAATTGCCATGCGAGATAAATTATAGCCAATAATCACCACTTGAAGTTAGCGGGGGGGAAAAGAGTAGCCTAATCAGAGTTCAGGACCAAGATGAAGGTGGTACCTTCATGACTTCTGACAAGAAAAAAAAAAAAAAAAGTAACAACTTCATTAAATGAAGATGGCAACACTTTCTCCCTTCATCAGGAGTTGAATAGTGTGTACTGTTAGAGTGCCTGGAAGACTAGAAATGCAGTACAGGTATCAGCCAAAGGTGAAATACTGAAAACAAAAATAATGATTTGGCAAAATTTTCCTCAGAAATTGACCTAATGCTTAGGAGGAAGCAGAAAATAAAAAGCAAAAGCACCTTTTTGTAACATGCAAGGCAACTGAATTTGCTTCCACAGACGTTCAGGAAGAGAGGGACACCCACCTTTCTTAGTACTTTGGAATGGTGCCTACGTTTAACTCTTCCTCTTCACACAACCCAGGGGAACTAATTGGAGGCCTAAAGGAGCAAACTGCCAAGCCAACACTTTTATTCCTGTAAGTGCTTACAAGATCACTCTGGCACAAGATAGACAAACGCAGCGAGGGGAAGAAGAGGCTCTGCTTTAAGTTGTAGAAGACAGTACTTAACAGAACTGCTGTCCTTGGGAAGACTAAAACGATGCTATCGAGTTTTGAAAGTTCCTCCTCTGCAGCATATAATTGTGGCCAAATCAAAGATGCCTATTTATGTGACGTTTTCTTTTGGTTTCCTGCCCTGCTTCTAAATTAAACACACACTGCCAGTCATGATCGTGCTCTCACAAAGTCAGCGGCAGAGCCTTGCCAAAGAGCTCAACAAGAAAACGCGCTGCAAATACAAAAATACACTCTTCAAAGAGTGAAAATACACCCTCTTTATCATCGGGGCTGCCTGATTAATTCATGCCAGGTGACATCAATTTCTGGCAGGTTAAGATTATGGATATCAGGATAACTATACAGTTTAGGGAAAAAAAACCCAAAATGGGGGGGGGGAGGGGGAGGGAGGATAAAAAAGGTGCCAGCGGGCCCTGCCATTACAGCAAGGGTTAGCAGAGGGTCCGAATCCCATGCAAGACCCTGAACTGCAACAGAGCAGATGCACACATCTTCTGCACAGCCTCTTTAATAACAAAATTTACCTTTTAAGTCTATTCAAAGTGTGCGTCTGCAAAATTCTATTAAAAATTCAAAAGCCATTAAAGAAAAACCTACGTTGAACAAATGCTGTCGCGCATCTGAAATTTTCTACCATAGGAGCTATCAAAGCACAAGCCAGTCTCAGGGTGCGCTTTGGCAGCCGCTGCGGAAGTGCTGGCTGTCAGCCTTCTGGAGTAAACCAAACTCTTAAGCGCTCTTGACACAATCCAGTTTCCCGAACCAGTCTCATTCCTTTTTCCTTGAAGCATATTTTTTTTCTAACTAATCAAACACTTAAAACGTTTCCAATACAGTAGCTCCCCAACACTTCGGCTTAGTGGAAGTGCAGTAATTCATGGCCAAGACTAATTATTTTATTTTCCTTGAGAAATCACTTTAGTACAGTTTAAAAGATACCGCTTAACTCAAATCTTTTTAGTTTACCAGCCGTGACTTTCACGAGCCTCTGTGGAGCCTGTCAACCCCCTACTCCCCCTTTGGGGTGGCACTCATCTTATTCTCCCCTCTTGTTCTCCACAAAGTAAACTCAGTACAGCAGTTCAGCCCTAGAATTTCTGGTAAGAGGTATATTACGTCCCAGTAACTACAGTAACGCAGGCTGTCCTTCAGAGCATCTTTTGCATTCTGAATCTTAAAACACATGGTAGACTATAGGGGCTAAAATGAAAACAGAAGATGGTTTTCCCCTGGCAGACTTCATTTAAGGCAAACAGAATAACACCCACGTCAACACTGTCAGCTCAGGGTTAATGAAAAAAGACAGCAAATTGTTCCTTGCCACAAACTGTGACTTAATGACGACAAGATTTTTGAAAAGATACGTTGTTGGATGTTTTTCATTTGCTTTCTGGTGTCCACATCAACCTGTTCTCACAGTATTTATAGCTTTTTTCCTCAAGATCACGGAAGTTTTTCTAATTAAGAGCTAAAACTAATACTTTTCATTCATGAAAAGCACAAGAAATGAGATTTGTTCTAAATGGAAATGCAAAAGTCAAATTTAGGAAGGTATTAAGGAGGACGCTCGTTAGACTAAGCACAGCCTGAGGAGCTGAGCTGCTAGCAGCAGGGACTCTATTCAGCAGCCGAGATACTAGGCAGCAGCAATGAGAAGAGTTTGATGGCCTTGTAAGCTATTTTCAGGGGATAAACCTCGTTGAAAGGCATCACAGCAATAAAAGCAGTAACTGTTCTTGTAAGCTTTTTCAAAAGAAAATAAACAAACTGGAGAGCAAAACTGAATACTAATCAAGTCTCTCTGGAGTGCCATTGCAGAGATACCAGCTGTTCCAGCGTACAAAGCCCCACCAGCATCTTCGCTCTACTGTTGGTGTGCAGCTAGAGCAAACACACCTTCATGCTATTGGCAGATATTTTTGCCAGTCTGCAGACTTGGACTAAAAAGCTACCTAAGAGAGGTAGTGAATTTATTTACAACACCTTCTACTAATACTCAGAAATTTCTGGGGGAAATCTCAGGCTTTGAGAATTCAATCCAACGTTTATAGCATTTAAGCAACATATACAAATGGTTGGTACGCTTCTCAGCTCTATGAATCTCCCCCCAAACTACCCCAGTAGAATTACACAATACACACACGCGCGTGCAAAATTATTTTGCATCTTTGGAAGCTCAGCTAATTTCCAGAGATACAGCTTAATTTACAATGTGCCAAGAGAAGCGCTTCTCCCTCCCCCACATTCACACAACATAACAGGAAGACTACGTAAGAAAATCTTAGTAAAAAGTGCTATGTTTGATAGATGTGTCCAACAGGAAAAGGACACACAAAGCCCTCAATTAACTGAGCATACTAGATTCTCCAGTCCCCCCGGATCATCATCTGCACATCTGTTATTTTCTTTGCTTAGAGGCTCCACTAGCTGTACAATACCTTCACATGCACAGGGGCTAGGCTGGGCCACTTCTGTAACCCAGGGTGTGCTGAACAGGCCTTAGAAATGGCTGCCGCCAACACTTAAGGTTTCACTGCCGGCTGAACCAGCAGGTGTACGTACTTAAGGCTCCCTACAGACACAGGCTCACCTCCCCTGGAGCAGTTTGCTCAACGTGTCTGAACACCTGAACAGGAAATAGATGCCTAATATCCCTTCAAGAAGCTCATCTCAATCACAGGGACTCAGCTTAAAGCAGCTCCTGCTCACACTCCCACCTTTCTCACGGTCTCCAGCTCCTTCTGCTTGTTCTCATTGGCCGTTTGCAATTCTTTCATCTGCCGCTCCAATTCTTCTTGCTCAGCTAACAGTTTCTGGCGTAATTCTTTCCGTTTTTGGCGTGCTTCCTTGTGGGGTGGAGGCTTCCCCCTTCTGAGCAGGTTTACAGTGGTCTGTATGGCTGGAAAGGAACGTGCAAGACACGAAGAAGAAAAGTAAGAGATCACCAGAGAAAGGAAACGCAGAACTTTCTGGGCAGCTTTGATGAATGGCTGCGTGTTTTGTTTTGTGGGGGTTTTTGTTTGTTTGTTTGTTTGTTTGAATACATTTATTTTAAAATCAAAAATAACTGTGTCAGTTTTCCTAGCTGTCAACACACACCAAAATTAAAAGACATTTAGCATTCATGTTGTCTGGGCCACAAGGAGACCCTCGGGCAATTCCCGTTCATTACATCAATTCTAACATTATTTTCTTTCTAACAGGCAGTGGACATACTAAGACATTTTGAATGCAAGTCATTTGCACACCTAGCTAGGACAAACAGCTTCAAGATTGCCCACTACCTAGATTCAGTAATTCTAATTGAGAAGGAGAAAGCGTAGTCGTAACATATTTGCTCACCTTTAACCCCTCTTATTCTTACTGTCATAAAACGGAAAAAACTTTCTCCCAGTAAGAAAGTAGTTCTCATTTATTTATTTCAGTGAGGAAATATTCAGAGAGCAAAGCTGAGAACTGGTAAACGATGTTGATATTTTATTCATCTACCGCAACTGTGAAACAAGATCTCATTTTGGAAGCCAGTAATCGTTACTCATCCATCAGACTTTGCCGTAATTAAACACATGCTTCAGGTAAAGAGGGAAGTGCGAATGAAAGCGCACAGCTCTAGAGCTTTAAATGCTGTACGTGTTTCAGGGGCATGGCCCACACGGTCTTTGCAAGGGCTTCTACCTCACTCTGCAAAAGAAGCATATAACTATCACTCGGGATACACCTGGGCAAGGTATCACGGAAGGAATAACTCCACTGTGGTAACAGAAAAGGAAGCCTCAATTCCCAGCCTTATCCTGAGCTCAGAAGTACAGCCATATAGAAAAAGCAAATAGTAATATCCATTTGCTTTTTGGTTTTGGCTATCAGGAGGCACCTGGCTGAAGGTGAGTCCCATGACATGGATCCTTAGTTCTTCCTGAGCATCAGGCTCCTTAAAGATCCCTTTTCATGTGTCCAAAGTGGAGACCCCCAAAAATCAGAAGACCAAGAATGTCATGCTTGAGTAAAACACATCCCTAAGAGTTCAGCTTAGCAAAGCACTTTCTTGCACGTAACTTTAGGATTTCTGAATCCTTACCTTGAATCCACTCCTGTTTCTTCTTCTTATCAGAGGCACTGATCTCAAAACTTTTGTCAAGACATTTTATGAGAAAAAGGCATTTCTTTCCATCTTTATCAGGCAGGGCCTAGAATGGATAACAAAGGATTATGCTTCCAAACATTGAATTCTACGTTACATTGTTAAGACCCCTCTATTCAGTGTTCTGTTACAGTTCTACAAATGCCGGCATTAGAGCAGTTTATTAAGAAGTGTTTACGGCATGTTTTTTGTAAGTACGAAAGTTCAAAGTACAAAAATCTCCTGTTATGCGTAATGCCTTCAACATGAAATCATCAGATGATTTTCTCTTCTTCTTTTGATTGCAAGCACCCACTTCGGTACCAAGAGACACGCTTAATAACGGCTCTTTATTCAACAGAAATCCCAGGACAGATAACCAGCTGGGCTACTTACACAACAGGAAAAAGAAAATAATCACTTCAGTGTTAATGATAGCTATGAGGAGTCCATCACATACACAAAAAGAATAAATTCTTATCTGTGGAAAAATTCAGAGGGTTTTTTTTGGTTTTTTGTTTTTTTTTTTTTACCTCTACACAACAGTTGCCATCCAGCATGATATCTCCCTTCTTGTCTTTTAAATCTTCACTTACGTAGTAGGAAATGATATTGGGTTTTAGAACAAACCATCGTTCTGTCCAGTTTTTCCTTTTGTGACCTTTCTTCAACATATAACCCTGCAAAAAAGCAAGGGACCATTTGAAATGCCCGGCCTCTGTTGAACCGCTTGGTCTTCTAGTTATATTGGCTTAACTGCCCATTAAAGTACCCAGAAAAGTTTGGTCACAGCACTAAAATGCTTCATCTAGACGTTTCCGTTCCCAGTAGCAGAACATTGCTATTTGTTGTTTAGCTCACAAGAGGACACGTACTATTCTTATGTCCTTACTCTTCAGTAGCAGGGTCATCTGAAGAACTGAACAATTACTATGTGCTCTTTGGATCCTCTTTGAGGACTTCGCTATTTAATTTTCTCCCGTCAAGCAGAGACGCTTGCCAGCACTAAGACTCATCTGTAGTGCTGTAACGATAGACTTTATTAAAACAATCCTGTGTGGATGGCACATCCTAGTGATAAATGTGGGCCTGCATCTAGGCACCATAAATCCAGCCCGTTATGTGCAGAAGCCCGGGGTCAAAGTAGAAGCACCTCTGGCCAGCGAGTGGCTCCACTCAGCCAACGCGCTCACTGAGCTGCGCCTCGTTAGGAAGTGATCCCCCACGCGAGTAACAGCAGTTGCTTCAGTTCGTACGTTAGCAAAACGGATAACGGAACCATACCCCTGGCGTGCTTATGGGTTGGGATATGGGAACACTGGTAAAGTCTGGATTTTGCCTCAGGAGTTGTACCGCTAACTTAACTAATAGCAACATTTCACTCACAGTATTTTGTTTTTCCTGACAGATGATTCACTCGGCTTCCTATAGGAGAGAGACACTTGCAACCAAGTCATGGGCTTCACTATTAACAAAAAGGTTCCAAAAGAAGGAAGAAAAGCTCATACCTTGCTGCTGAGCTTCATACAAACAGAAGAATAAGAAGTGGGATAGTCTATAATGATAATAAATAGGCCTGATCAAATCCCCCAAGTTTGTCTCAACTGAACATTAACATTTCCAAAACATAAGTGTCAATATTAAGTACAGTAACTGATAACCTTAACTGAAGGGCCACCCTATTATACTTCATTCCACGTGGCTATGGCAATGCAAAAACCATCCCACAGAAAAGAGAGTGCACAGTGAATGATGTAATAACTGGACGTTTCGTCAGACGTTGGATTTTTACCTGGCCTTAAGCAGGGGCGCCTGGCTGAAATCCAGTCAAGTTGCAGGTATTTCAGCTATACCTGCCACTTCTGCAGCCGCGTTCCCCCCTGCCACTTCTGCAGCCGCGTTCCCCCACTACTTACATATTTTTGTCTGACTCGGAATTTAGAAGAAATTCAAATCACAGCGGAAACTGAACACACATATCAATTTAACTGTGAACCAGCCAAACAGAAAACACTGCCATGCTCAAAGCATTCCAGATTAAGAGGATCGAAACGTTGCAAAGGGAACCGAGGAATATTTTTCTGTAGAGTCTTTCAGCTATAGTAATTTCAGATACAAGCAAAAGAATAGAAGTGCTGTGACATGTTTAAATCAGAGGCGCCTTTCTCTGCAAGTCTGGGGGCGGGGAGGGGGGAATCAGGACAGCTGGCAGAGCTGCCTTTTTAAAAAAAAAAAGTATAATACACATATAAATATATACATAACATGTATACACACACACACACGTTATGTATACACATATATGAATGAAACAACCCGCCACTACTTGGCTGTGCTCAGCTGCTGCAGCCAGTTAAATGTGGCCAGAGTGGAGGCTGTGCTGTGCCTATTCCCTCGCTGCTCCACCCGCTCGCTCCAGACCACGAAAGAGCAAACAAGCTTTGTCTCCTCCACGGTCAGGTCCAAGGCCTGGGTAGTGGTATAAGGGTGTGCAAAGGATTCCCACAGTTTTACTCTCATGTCTCGCACATTCTAAGTCGTAATCAGGTGTTTTCCCCCCTCCTCATATATTGAGTGAATTTGCTTTCAAAGCCAGGTCAGACTAGTGTTTTCCCCCTCAAAATTTATGATAAATCTATACCTATTATTTTTGTGCATCAGCTTCTTCCCGTCTTCTAATAGCCCTCCAGCAACTCTCAGGGATCTGTTTTCACACCAGCTATCATATGAGGGACAGATAACTTCTTTCAGAAAACCAGAATATCACAAATTTAATCATTACTGCTATCCATCACAAGGTTTGGAGATTACAATAAAAAGGGTAGGATGAGACTCTGCTACTATATGGTATGTCGTTAATTAAACATTGATGTAATCATATACTGCAATAAACACTCATGACAATTCTGGCAGTCAACAAGCTATCAGGGCACAAGGTGGGACAGAGCAAGATAGGTGCAAGTCACACAGGGAACACCATTTCCCACTTGGCCACTGGCTGTCCAGACGGTTTTGGTCAAATCCTGGCACAAACTATTTTTACACGTCAAGGATCTATTTTCAAAGGTACTCAGACATCCTTGAAAAAGAGGCCAAGTCACCAAAAGAGGAAAGAAAGGAGACAGATAACTTAAAGCATACACACAATGCAGTATAAAAACTGAAAATGTCTTACAAGTCCAAAGAAATCGGATTTCCTCACAAGTTTCAAGAGGAAGGACTGACCTGACACTGGTTTCTTTATTTTGATGGTGTTAATTACCAGAATGACTTCATTTTGGTCTCAACTGATTATGTCTCTCCCCCTTCCCCCCCCCCCCCACCCCCCCCCCCCCCACACACACCCACGGCTTTTGCATTGTTCCGTGGATATTCTGAAAGAATTTCCTGTGCCAAGACTTTGTGCTGATTTCTTCAGAATGGTTTTGGAAAGCCTGCCAAGAGCGCCTTTGTTTCTCTCCTACCAAGAAACAAAGATGGAAAAAATACCCCATCGGGTAAAAGTCAAGCTTAACTAGCTCTCCAGGTACCATCAGCTGCGACCTCTTAGAGCTTTACTATATTTATACTTCCCATGGAGAAAAAAATGCAGTTTTTAAGGCCAATTGTAAACTTATAACCCACCCACTGCAGATCTGAAAAAAAAAAACAGAAGGTTGACAGAAGTTTGCTAGGAATGTTAAAGCCAATGTTATTTTCCTGTACTCAAATACAAAAAGTCAGTCGCTAGTCAAATAGCCTGCTAAGCAGAGTTAGCAGTAAGAAAGCTCTGGAGCTTCTGCCTATCTTTCTGCCCTGCTAAATTGTATCAGCTTAGAAGCAGAGAGCCCAACCTTTGTCCTGACCATTATGTCTGAATATAGAAGTTGCATCAGCACAACCTATCATTCATTTGCTACAACCTAACTGCCATTGAAAAACAGCTTTTTCAAAAAATTCAAGAGCTGTCAGAAATTTAAGAATCGGCAGAAAATATTTTGCAGCTATTCTGTCAGCTGACGAGTAACTGACATTAGGGTGCAAAAAGGTTTTATTTCGAGTCAGAAGCACGCTTCCTTTACTTTCTAAAAAACAAGTTCTCCCAACGAGTAACTCATTCATAATACTGACAATTACAGCAATTTGTAAAGCAGCACAGCTTCTCTCTTATAATAATAAGGTCATATTATAAAGACCCCTTAGAAGTAATTTACCTAGTTTTCCCACTGCTACTTACCCATCAGGTACGGAAATGTCCCTACTAAGTTTAACATTTTCTACTTATGCAGTAACTTGTTCTACTGTAAAATAACAGTTCTCCATGTTTCTTACCTGTTTAAGGACATCTAATATGAGCTCGTTAAAGACTTCATTAATTGCCATCGATACTGTCTGTCGGTCCATCCCTTTACTGAACTGTCCGCTTCCGATGAGATCAATCAGCTCCCACGCAGAAAGACCTTCTCGACTGGTATTGAAAGCAATCTTATAATGATCAAACTGCTCTTGCTGCCAGCCTGCACCCATTGCTTCGGTGAGTTTTTTAAGCAAATATTCAATCTGTACAGAAATATAGACGGAAATTAATCATTTTCAGACATGGAAATCAATCATGTTTCAGAGCTGTAAACCACTAAGCTTCTCCGAACGCTGTTCTGTATACCTGGCTATTCTATAGCCAGGTTCCTACGTTCACATTTAGGCTTCTAAATGTAGCAGGTCTAATTAGCAAAGAATTTAGGCTCCTGTAGCTTTCTGCCTCATGAGGTTGAACTTTTGACTGCTGAGTCCATCTACAGCTTCTCTGCTCATATGAGAGAAAAAAGTGACTGAACCAGAGAGCCTCTCTTTTAAAATTTCAGATTCCTACACAATACATGGGATCTTTTCTGTAACGGCTTCAAAACTGTGATGACTGACGTGCGAGAAAGCAGGAAGTTTTAAAAATCATCCTTGTAAAATAAAACGCAAACAATCAGAAACAGTAAGACGAGTATGACGACAGCCTGGACAAGAAGTGCAATAAAAAACTACCAATGTACAATCATGTATGTTAGATTTCACCTGAACCGTCTTCCACCATCTCTACCACGCCATTACTGGACACAGTCGTGGCAAACGTATCCAGAGAGGCAAAACAATACATTTTTCACCTCTGCTTTTATTGCTTCCAAAATAAACTTTCCTCTTTCCTTTCATCTTTCACTATTCTGTAGACATTACCATACCACAAGATAACGCTTCTAATAACACTAGTCAAAATAAACCCAAGAATGAAAAAGAGGGAAAGAAGGCTGGGTTTCTTCATTTGTCTGGTTTCTATGTTTTATTTGTTTAGCTCACCACTGTTTGCTCTTTAAACAGCACAGTACTTTTAAATATAAAAATCCTCCATCTGCAGCTTTAAGGACACATAAAACATTTTAAATGGATTTTTAACCAAAATAATTTGGGAGAGCCTTCCCACAAAGACCCCTATACAACCAAGTCAGAGTCACACTTCTGAGCTTCTATGACTGTAGTCGCCTGATACCAATTACAGACTTCAACCTAGTTTTGAAGACAGACCAAGTAAATGCCACCTGCTGCTATTTTGGGTGACAGGTCACTATGCTTCCTCACGAGCTTTGCAGTGAGGTGTACAAAGTCACACGCCACCTCCTGACTCTCCTCTCCAACCAGCCGCAGCACCAACGGCAAGCACACCTACATGCTCCTCTGAGAAGCCTGAGCCAAGGCCCCTCGGCAAGGCCCGCCCGGAGCACTGCTCCCAGCTAAAGGCCGACGTGGAGACGGGGGGAAAACCAGCTTCCCCTTTTCTCCAGGGACCATGAAAACCAGTAGGGAACCATTTCTTTTTATTTCAGTCCACCCAGACTTCGGGCAGCGGTTCCTCCAGCTGCCCTCTTTGCTGCATGCAGCAGAACTGTGACTCCAAAAGCAGGATGCTGGGAAAGGCAGGCTCTGAGGTGGAGCCGGGGAGGGAACGTGGCCCGACCCAGCCGGGCTCCTTCTGGCGCACGCAGAAGTGAACGCGTGTCCCGAGCACTGCATTTCTGACTGTTACATCCATGGGTTAACTTTAAACGGACTGATTTTAAGTGATGTTTTTGGAAACACGAAGTAGTTCAGGAGTTTGAATCCCCTTATCAAAAATAACAGTGCGTACAGCATGAACGTGCCTTGTTGAAAAGTGGTAGAAACTGAATGCTTTCAAAGACTTCATTTCTTTAATCACTGTTGGTTCACTTCCCTTAGCACTGCTTGAGAACAAAATGCAGCTTCTCCTATGAACAAGGAAAACGCCAGCTAACAGAGCTAGAAGATGTTTCACCACAGAACAAATGAACTTTTCAGCTACTTTTTATCACCACCTTTCAACTGGTCAAACAGGCTTTCGAGTGCCCAACAGTCGCTGCACAGGAGGTTTGGGAGTACAAAGAAATGAAGAAATGTTTTTCCCAACACATTGCACCACCAGGACTCCCAGGCCACAAGCTTTTGATGAAGCGTACATGCTAATTTTGTGGCTGCTGCTTCTCTCTTTTGCAACTGGTATATGCAAACCCCCTCCTTTCCCCCACATCTGTGATCAAGAAACACACAAGTGTGCAGCAGAGCACGCTCATCTGGCAAAGCAGTAAATTACTGAACCTGAAATTCACTCTATAGATGGGCGACTTCTTGCTCCTCTTTCAGCTCAGTAACTATTCTTAGTCTTGCAGCCCCTACTCTAGCAGTATGTGGGTTAAGGCTAGGGCAAAATGAGGAAGCTCCTTAAAGTCACTGTTATCTAGAATAAAAGTTCCCACTGTATACGGGCAGGAAGCACATACTTCTCCGAGACTTGGCTCTCATCCTCCTTGTCAAGTGTATCTTAAGAGAAGATGCACTATCCAGGCACGAAATAACGCCTTTAAGGTTGCCACAGAGGCTGTAGATAGCGTTGCTTTTCACTTCAGCTTCCCCAAGTAAGGCAGGTAAGTTTGGGGGTTTTTTTAAGTTCTGAATACAATTCTTATTAGTGGAGATAAAACTTGAACAGAGGTCTTTGGAAAAAGAAGTGACATTTAGATTTTAGTGAGCTGGGAGTACAGGGTGGGATCGCTAAAGCTGAGCCCGAGCGGCTGAGCTTGTAGCAGCCCTGGGCTGCAGCAGCCACAGGAGCGAGGGCCGTGCCGCAGAGCCTGGGCCCCACTTGACACCGCTGCCAGGGCGGCTGGAGGTGCCCGGGGCTGAACAAGGCTGGCCGTCTGCCGTGCACAAGCTCAGGGCTTGGCTCTGCAATCTTCATCGCCATCCCTGTTTGTTTCGCTACGCTGCACACGCAAAGACAAGAGGCTATTCGTAAGAACAGGTCACAAAACTTGGCTTTTCAGTGGTTTCATGTACAGCTTTGAATCATTCAAGTTAAAATACTCAGATGATAGATAACATTAACATTTTAGCATGTCCTCCCCCAAGCTACCAACTTTTATTACATTTTTTTAACTCAAAAATTAGTTTTAAAATCATTAACAAATGCTTTGTTGATTTCCACTCTCAAAAAATCCTTATGATAAAAGAGTAATCTATGTGGCACTAAGGTTTTTGAGCACCAAATACCACAAATCTTCAGCATTCGGTTAAAGGCAGGAAGCAGCTTACTTCCTACTTCCAGACAAGTTTTACAGAAAGGGAAAAAAAAAAAAAAAAATTCACAGCATGCACAAACAGTAGCACTGACCACTTGTTTCAAAACAGGGCTCCTAAAACCTCAAATCGATGAGCTGAGCTCAAAACAATTTTTTTCCCCCTATATGAAATACCTTCTGCCCCCTCCGCGCAGCCTCTCCGAATGGCATGCATCCTGAACCACAAGCCTGTACTTCAGCTGCAAGAGAAGCTAAAATAACTACAGCTTAATTAAGTAGGTGATATTCCTGCCAAGATGCAAAACAATAAATAATAAAAAGGAAAGCTTAACGAATTTTAACTTTGAAATTTACTGTTCAAGATTTCACAACATATTACACTACTACTTGAGGCATGCAGCTCTCAAATTCCTTTGGTTAATTATTTCAAAGTACTAGACTCACTAACACAAAAGAGATCAAAAAAAAAAAAGGGGGGGGGGCTTTCCCCCACAAGCCATACGAACAAAATGTACATCAAACTAATAGGCTGGAACAGCAGTAAGGCAAACTGTTGGCTACTACACACATCTGTAATGCACTAACAATAAGTCGAAACACCCTTTACTTACATTTTACTGAATTTTTATTCTCGGAACAGATTTAAACACTACAGACTATTAGCCAGCCATCTACAAGTCACTAACATCACCACAAACATCCTAAATCCCATTAGAGTATGTAAAACACCCAATTATTTTTAACTACATTAAATCTTCTAATATGAAAAGGGACTTGTGCATATTACAATTCAATTTCTAAAACAAAACCATTTAAAGGCTTTATCTTTTATTCAGACAAGCACATAACTAACCAAAGTCTGCACAAACATTTTGTCCAGTGTATCTTGCTCTATAGCAGCAATGAGTGTTAGGGGTGGAGGGAATATAAACGTAGAACAGTGCGAGATAAATCAAGAATGGGTCGGATCTGGTAAATATGGAGGCAAACGAGATCATTCATTTTGTGCTCAAATGAGGAACCTCTGAGAGCAAATGGCATTTCCCCTCCTCCACAAAGAAGGGAATCAACTCAGCATATAACTGATAAATTAAGTCTACTGGCTCTAACAATTTACTCTAGTGGTTAAAAAGCAGAGCGTCAAAAAGCAAACGCAAAGCAATGTTTGCTGCTACTCTGTCTAGACCTTATTCACTTTTTGATACAGATGGAAAAACATAAGGCTTTTGTTTTAGGAAGAACTAACACTACATACACCAGTATGCACCAACTGGTACCCAGTATGAAAAGCTGGTTCCATCCCAAATCAACAGAAACTTTTCAGCCAGAATTGGCCAAGAGAAAGCATAAAGAATATAAAGAACAGAAGCGCTTTAAAATGAGATATACAGCCTATTTAGTATCTTCTCAGAGGACAGATTCTTTTCCTTCACTTCAGTGCCTATTGTCTTTCTGTTCCAGGTATTCTTGGCACCGTTTTCCATCAGGTATGAAGTACCATACCTGTTTCGCATATTTTTCTGATATGCGAGTGGGTCTGTTAAAGGATGAAAAATTAAAAGCCAAAACTAAATGTCAAGGAGGCTTTCGTGCCCAGTAGAGCATGGCAGACAAGGCTATTCTGGTTCACACCAAATAAGGTTTGCAGTATTAATACAGCAGACTTGAAGCGTATCCACATTATACAAAATTGTGTGGAAGCGTGTGTTACTCAGCAAGACACATGAAAGTAATTACATCTCATTTCACAATCATCATCAATTCCTTTTTTCTCCCATCAGAAGATAACTTATTCTTAACTCAATATTTGCTCTTTCCTTTCCACCAATAAAAAAAAAAATCCCCACACTAGAATTTATTAGATTTTTGTGGATAACTACTACCCTGGTTCAATTGATTTTATTTAAAAAAAAAAAAAAAGTGCTC